TGATTGTATTGTATTTTCAGGCTAATTGGCTTTTACGGCATGTCTCTTACGTCTGTTTCGTGATTTTATATGATTTTTTTGAAGATATGCTGTTTTGGTCGAAAACTCAGAAATAATGACGGCACTAAAACCTCGATATCTCAACTTTTTACCGCTTTTTTAAACTTCTTCATAATTAGCTTCAATAACTCCCTACAGGTACCCAAAATTTGGCGCACCTGAGGCGCGCCATTTTTAGCTATAGTGCGGCGAAAAACGTGAGGGCATTTGACGCCCCATCCCCCCCCCAACAACTTGCGGATTATCATCAATTCGAGGTTATTAGCATGTACAATACATTGAACAATAAATAAGAAGGGTAAATTTTTTAGCACTTGCTCTTTCTCAGTTGCAAACAAAAATGTCACAGCATTACGGAAAAAATGGGCGCGTGCTGGCAACATTACGTATTTCAGTTCACTACAGTTACAGAAAACGCAAAAAAATGCAAGATGAAATCTAGTTTCCAGACACCTACCAGCCTTGAGTAAAGGAGTCATCGTGAGACACCTCAGCCGAGTGATCCAAAATTACAGGTGTGGTAGACATTCCTGGCAAAACGATTTAGCTTCAGGAAATTTGCGATGCAAATCGTCCATTCAGCGGAGGATTGGCGGCCTGACCTCAGCGGGGGAGCACATGCTTGGCCAACGTCGCACCGTTACACCCGGAAAGCCGCCCGGCGCGGCCCGGCCGCCCAGTAAAACCCTCCGCAGCAAAGTTCGGGCACGAGGATATAAGACGATTTTAAGACAAATACATTGCTTTGGTGACTGCCGCGGCGGGGCCGGGTCACCGGATATACTCGTATGAATGCAGAGCAGAGCTGAGACGCTAGGTATGAAGAACGGAGCTGGGTGAGGCGAGAAGAGGCCCACCTTGGGCACTCCGTTAGACGAGCAAAATGCATATAAAAACGATTTTCCTGATCACGCTTTTTGATGCAGACTGCGGCGACCGTAGCCCGGGGCGCTGGCGACATCACAGGCGTGACCTGGCGCCCGGGCGCGGCCGCGCTGGGCCAGAGACGGCCGCCGCCGGACCGAAAGTGCGCGTGCGCGGTGCAGTAGCCAGTGACTTTTCTTTTCTCTCAGCTCATTATGCTCTAATTTAGCTATCTTTATTTCTATCGTAATTAAACGCTTAAGTTCAACAACGCTAAATGTTGCCTCCGTAGAGCCACAGAGCCAACGAGCGAGACATCGGGCCGACACTACAGCATGTGCTGATGTGTATTGGTCTATGGCGATTTGGAGAGACATAAAGACCAGCTATGACTGCTTGGAACGTAAAGATTCCTTAACCCGCGCCCGGCTGGGGGTCCTGGATTTCCACGCCCTGCTGGGGGGGGGGGGGGTGTTTGAACACCTCCCCCTTCTAACTCGGCTCCTGGGCCACGTAGCGATACGCGGAAGGCGGCGTTCGAAAGAGCGCTAAAAATAATGACGAAATCAATTCGGTCACTTTTTTGGTCAGGTCAAAGGTCAGGTCACCAGAGGTCATTGAAGGCAAAAATTTCGCCGATTTTCAGGTCGAATGTCGACAGTTTCCAAGAAGCCAACGCATAACTCGGGAACCAATAGAGCTACAGCGCCGCGGAAAAGCGCATTCGATAGCCCTATTAACGCTCTTTCTGAGTAATTCTCTCAGATTTGACCTATCGTCAACGGTTTTGCCTGCAGGGGGCAAAAACTGCCAAAATAGCCGATTTTTTTCGAAAACAGTTTTTCTGCAATAACTTTTGATCCAGGCCTTGCACGAGCTTACTTTTAATGGCATCCTGTTCCTCTCGTCAAGACGCATCGAATGAACTGTAACTTGACCTTGAAAGGTCAACTTGAAAATTTGACCTCAGGTCAAGGTCATGACCTGACCGGAAAGGGTCATGTTGCATATCAGTCGATCCGTATCGTCGAGCTGAACACATCCAAGGCGTTTTCATCGCTCTAGCATGCCTCTATCAAAAGTTATTCGCGAAAAACTGTTAGATACCATCTGTGACCTGAGATGACCTCAGGGGCATGCACAGGGGTCACAGATACAGGGGTCAGAATGGTAGGTCACAGATACCATTTTCATGTTCAGTGTGTCTTAGTTACTTGTTATTCAGTGTTTGGGAGTGTTTATAATGGCTTTCATAAAAAAGCGCCTTTCAATTTTCTCCCATTGACTCATAATGGGGAGGTCGCAAAATTGACCTGACCTTAGGTCATCGATATAAAAATTCTGAGATATAAATTTTGTACATGCTATTGCTCTTAGCAATCGCTGAAAGTTTCAAAGCGATCGGTCACTCGGTGTAGCTATGGCAGACATTGAAACTTTTTATGAGGTGAGGTCACTTCAAGTGACCTGGTGACCTGACCTTGAATGACCTCAGAACATGTGTAGAATTGATGTGTAATAAGGTATACCAAAAATGGCGGCACTCCGCGCCGCCGTTTTTGAGATATTCGCGAAAAATCACAGGGGGGGATGTTCAAACACCCTCCCCCCCAGCAGGGCGCGGGTTAACAAACCAATTAAAAACTGCTGTTTTAGATGACATTTAGGGGTTCTATAGCCTTGGACGTTTATAATTATATGTAGGTATAATGTTTCAACATGCATGCTTTCAAAAATGCGTGCATATTGCGTATGAACGTTTTCCGTTCATTCTGCTGCCGCCTGCCCAGATTTTGATGTCACGTAACAAAAGCTGATATTCAGAAGCTTATCTCGCCCACTTGATATGCTAAACGAAAGTAGGTTTATTCATGACGCTAAGCGCATTAAATTATTTTTATCCCAACTAGCTTTTGGGAAACGGTCGGTCTATCGCTGGAGTTCTCCGTTTCCCAAGGCGCAGTTGTGCTATTTCATAGAACACGAGCCAAGCTCGGCACTTTTATGACCAAGCTGCTATATGCACCGCAATACGATAATTCGAAGCCAGACACAAAAATCTGTTAAAGAGCTTGCTTATGATTATAACACCGACGTATACGCTCATCTGCTCTATTATAACTGTCATCTGTGCCACGGAACTAGATTCAGGATGGGGGTTCTCATTTTTGAAATATGATGGCCAAAAGTTACAAATCTAAATAAAAATTATATGATATGTAACTCTGATATATTTTAGACACTCTGACAATTGATTTGTGACTTTCTGACCGCGATATATAAAAAGGTCTCTGGTCTATGAGACTTTATACATATTAGCCGTTTTCACGACGGCCATCTGGTACACATTTGGCGCACATCTGGTGCAGATTAGGTGCAGATTTGGTCAAATTAGGCTCAGTGTGTCTCTTAGGTAGTAGCTATCAGCTACGGCTGCACTAATTATTCATATGCCTGCTTTGTCTAATTATCAGAGAGAATCGTCGATAAAACACTGACATAACTTCATAAAATAAAGATATTTGCTGTTAAAGAGACTAGGTGCAGATTTGGTCAAATTAGATGCACTCGCCGGATAGCCCGTCGTGAAAACGGCTATTTTGTATCAGTTACTGACGATGGCACACTGCTGTCAAAACGTCTAAAATATATCAGATTTAAATCATGATTATCATTTTTGAATTGTAGCTCTTGGATACCAGAAGATCTCACTCGAATCAATGGCCAGCCAAGTTAAATTTTAGCTCACTATCGTCCAAGCGTTTTCCGGGCAATCGCGAAAAAACCGTCAGTGGTGGCAACTGGCAACCTGCTCGGCCGGGCGGACTGGTGAAGCTCGTATAGCTACTACATGCATGATCAGTCGGACACTTTGAAATTTCAGTTGTAAAAAGTGAGCTCCAGTGTTCGATGCGTGCGTTATTTGCATGCAAAACTAGTTGGTAATAGCTCCAACTGAGTCGATGACCGGTAAAAGTTGAAAAACCTGTGCATAGCCTGTTGTTGCTGAAGGACAAGATTGACTCGTTACGAATTCACCGTACTGGTATTGCGCGCTTTGATTCCGTTCCATATGTTTTGATACGGAATCGGATCGGACGGGTGTTAAGTTATATATCATTTAATAAATGCAAATCTTCTAAAAGTCTTTAAATGGTTTACCTACTAAAAAATGCCACCAAGTGAATGAGTGCCTGGACAGAAACTCAGCATTCCATTCATGAGGAAGAGACAAGATCACTCTTTGCGTTCTGTGCGTGTGTGTGTGCATTTTTTTGCGTAGTTACGTTATGCCTGTACCTGTGCAATATTTGCAGGTAGGTACCATGCTTGAGATCACTACAAGAATGCTTGCTTAGATTGTTCAAATTGCCACGCTGATGCATTTCGTCTGGTACATACCACTTTTGTTTGTTAGGATCTGTATCTACGAAACAAGAAAGGAGGGTCGAAGAACGGGTTGGGTTGTGTTACCCTCCGCCACGGACGGCCTGGTTTCAGTAAAGCAGCTGGCATCTGAAAATGTGACATCCTTCGCCGCATCTCGGATGTTGTTCCTCCCTCTCCTCGCCTCTTATGGCCAGGGCGTTTTGTTGCACCGTGCCTGTTTTCAAAGGATGATGACTAACCCCGCCACCACCACTCAGGAGGCATATCGCCCTTCTCAGCTCTCTCTCTCTCTTTCTCTCTCTCTCTCTCTCTCTCTCTCTCTCTCTCTCTCTCTCTCTCTCTCTCTCTCTCTCTCTCTCTCTCTCTCTTTCTCTCTTTCTCTCTCTTTCTCTCTCTCTCTCTCTCTCTCTCTCTCTCTCTCTCTTTCTCTCTCTTTCTCTCTCTCTCTCTCTCTCTCTCTCTCTCTCTCTCTCTCTCTCTCTCTCTCTCTCTCTCTCTCTCTCTCTCTCTCTCTCTCTCTCTCTCTCTCTCTCTCTCGCTGAGCCCCCTGCCTCCCCGGGAGGAGCCGGCGATGACCAGCCGAGCTGCGACAGCCCAGCGAGCCCGGCCGGTCGGCTGGCCCCGCCCCCGAGCGGCCGGCGGGAATCCCTCCCCGTTGCGCCGACTCGACACCGCTCTTACTTAAGCGGCGCTGCACCTGGTGCTCGGGCCAGTTGGAGACGGGGCCGGCCGCTCAGAAGCCATGCGCAGGTCGTCGGTGACGGTCATGCGTCCGGTGCGTTCGCGGTGTGGTGCGTCGGCGGCGGCGGCCGGGCCGCTGCTGCTGCTGGTGCTGGTGGCTCGAGTCGTCAGCGCGCTGCCGGCCGACTCGAGGACGGACGCGATCGAGGCCGAGGAAGCGCTCGACGAGGTGGTGGACAGTATACGGGAGCGACTCATGCGAGAGCTGGGAATCACCAACAACAAGCCAGTGCTGGTCAGTAGCGCCGGGGAGCTCGGGAAGGCCGCAAGGGACTTGTGGGTCAAACACTCGGCCTCGCTTGTAACTATAGCAAATTCAACACAGTGACTGTGGAACAAATAATATGCCCTGCTGCATAAACTGCGTCAATTACATAAAAATCGAGAGGCATAAAAATGTACGTCTGTTTTAGAAATAGTGTTTCTCTTCTATTGTTTCTTCAACGCAAGCCTCATTACAACAGAATACCATTTAGCTACAGCTCTTGAATTAAAAACGAAAGAACTGTGATTTAATTACAAGGACAACACTGGCGCCCAGTCTGATGTCAGGACCGTTTGCGCTGTGTAGTGCGTTATCAAACATGGATTAGCTCATTGTCGCCTATTCAGTTAATCTATTTATCAAAGTCGCCGGTATAACGCCGTTGTTCGGGAAAGTGACGGCAGGTTGGCGTGGTGACACCCTGGCTAACGAACTCAAGCACGTTTCTGTGGACGATCTCGGATGCCTTACATGGTCAGCACACGTTCCAGTGCAGCACACGGGTGGTAGAACTCCTGTCATGTTAGTGGCGTGACAAGACCGGCGTGTCATTTATAAATTGAACAATACGGTAACGGGGTCATAACTGACCCACCCGGCACCATCGACAACTATGTCATGGCTGGAGTGATTTATCTGGCTCTTTCTTTATGTGCGGATAGGTCAAATGAACTTTTTTGTCCTTGGCTTTATTAAAGAATGATCTTCAAAACTTTGGATTCTGCACAATGTCCAATGCAGCTTTGAACGAAGAGGTAAAGAAAAAGGACTCTTACTCACTTCTGGGGCTCCCGATTCCCCACCTGTATAACATATGTATAAAACTGACAAGAAGTTAGTTGTAGTTTTTTGTTTTACTTTAAATATTGTTGTCTTCTTTACTCGTGCCTTTTTGGCGTTCCGTCACGTCTCGTCCAATGTCAGAGCTGGCGCGCTGTCCTGTCGGGTGCGGCGGCTCATCCTGTCATGGTCCGTCTCGTCACACTTCCCTCCGTAATGTGCCGAGACCGACGCCACAGGCCCGTCTATCAGCAACGCACATGGAGCGGAACATGGAAATTCCAGCGGTGTGCCGTCGTTTCACCGGCCCGCCGCGGCGGCGGCAGGTCTGTCCGGACCTGGGACCGAGGGACGACAGTCAGGCCACCGTCTCGAAAGTCGCGCCGTCGTGCCTCCTGACGGGCTACTTTTCTGAGTGGGAAGGTCAACTCGGAGCGTATAACTCACTTTTGGATGTGGACACAGATCTGCGGTTTTTGGACAATGGTTGGGTGTTGACGTGGGCGCAGAACTGAGAGACGCCTGAGCCTGCGACAGGTGTGAAAACGCCACCGGACTTTGGACTTTGAGCCGCGCCATCTCATTTCTTGAGAGGCTCAGAAATCTCGCGAATGGCGAGAGGGTCAGAGAGCGAAGAGGCGAGAGAGATAGAAAAAAAGAGAGGAAGAGGAGTTGCTGTGTCTTGTCAGCGGATGCCTGACTAGATTGTGCCCGCTGTTGTTTTCCCTGTCAGCTGCAGCGTCCACCTATATATCAAGCCCCTGATTGGAGCCTCAGCCCTGGTCTGGCGGTCGGTTCTCCTCATGGCATTGACGACCGAGACGGACCTGGGCTGGTTTCGGCTAACCGAGTCAGCTGATCGTCATCGGCACGCCATTGGGGCACTTGTCGCCCCGCCAGTTCAAGTGTCCCAAGGCTGCCGCGGAGGCCGCGGCCGCCGCGCGCCGTCCGCTACTCTGTGCTACCGGGCTGATAAGAGCGCCGAGCCGGTCAGTGCCAATGGCGACATATCGACACCTACACACTACTCATCGGGCACTGCGCAGGAATGTTCGGCATTCGCGGCCTCGCCCCCGGTCGACTGCGTGCCTACACGATAGCAGCAATCAGCGCTCGGGTGCGGTGATTTGTGTACACATTGTCGGCAGTGGCCGCGCGTCATCGTGTCCAGGACCAGATAGGCTGGGTAAACACCGGGCCCGTCTCATAGGCCTAACGCTGCCCGGGTGCGAAAACTGCCAACTCGTCTCGACCGCAGCTGCCGACAAGGCGTCGTTATGTCCACAAACACGGCAGCCCGAAGCGAATGTAAACGCGACACCGTGTTTGCAGAAACAATTTAACTTCGCTACTTTCGTGATGAATTCTCCTTGGGCCACTTTCTTTGCACAGGTTGAAGATATTGGCGAAGCAAGCATTGACGGAGCCATTCCCGTGCTGATGAGGGGCAGGGGTTGGCCAGCGCCGACCGGGCGCGGTAGACCGCGTCGTTTGGTCCTGCTGTGTGCAGAAAGGCTGACCGGCGCGGGCCGGGCCGTCCGACCGGCGGCTAACGTCAGCCGGACGGGGACGGGCGATCACCTCGTCCGTGAGTCCCGATCACGACAATGTTGTCACGGGTCGGTCAAATGCACGGTCGGCGTGGCGGAAATGCCGGGCGTGCCCGGGCGGCGGGCCAGCGCGGCGGTGCGGCGGCGGTGCGGGGGCGGCGGCCCCTCCGCCGTCCGTCGGCACCGGTCGGCCGGCCGACCTGTCCGTGCGTTCGACTCCGACAGGCACGCCATGTCCGAGAATAGAGCGCCACGCGACAGGTAACCGCGCGACGGCCATTTACGGAGCGTGTACGTCAATGATCACGACGCGACGTACAGCGTGAAGAACCCCTGTTGCAGTACTTCTACATGAACTTTGTGTCCCGCTGCACTGGTCGGAACTCAGTTACATCATAGTGATTCCACTGTATCTGGGAAGTACTGTATTCCATAGAAATACATTGGTATCTGGCCCGGTTGGGCCAAGCCGTGTTCTACGTGCTTTTAATTTTGACAACAATCCAACATTCTTCACGACTTTGCATTTTTAAATCTGGGCCGGCTGTCGGCTCACCGAGATTTTCTCGACATTGTGGTGATGTTAATCATGGATTCGACGACTAAAGCTACTTTTGGGATTGCTGCCGCTTCTTTCCCTTTTGACTTGGTCGAGTGGGTCATTAATACATGATGTAATACATTCACTTACAGCCTAGAAGTGATGTGCTTACCAAACGCATTTGACGTTTCTTGAAAATGAGGTGAGGAGACACCCGAGCATTCATCCTCTATGGGATTAGTTTCCCTGGCAAACAGAAGGACGAGTAAGACTAGATGGGCTCAGTTCCGTGCAGTTTCATAGCAAGCATCCGGCATCCGTCAGCGGAACGTAAAAAATGCAGCCACTCGGACACCGCACTTGCCTTTTGTGATGTCAGATCGGTCCAGGATATGCCTAATGCCGCGCTTCAGCTCATCAATACAGCAGTGATCTCATGTATAGATCACATGTCAGACATGTGTGCTGCTGTTCACGACATATAGCGTTCGTAAATGTCAAAAAGCAACAGCCTCTCCATTATAATAGCCCTCTATCATAGAATGTTTTTATCATTCACCGTAGATAGTTGTCTTCTGTTGGGATCAGTATCTTCTGTTACACATTTTGTCGGTGTTCGTGGGCACGAAACCGCGGCTGCATCATCAGCTGTTTTCCGAGAAACCCTCTATCAGAAACCGGATCCGTGCGGCCTTAAGCACAAATGAATTAGGGAGAAAACTGGTTCCGTCCTTGTATGAACCTTCATGACTTCTAAGCTGCCGTCGAACCGTTGTTCGCTGGTACACTGGAGTTTGCCGTGGAATTTCCGCGCATTTTCTGACGATCTGTCAATAACTATAGGAATGTCTGTGACACGACGGTAGCAGGATGCTGCCATCGACACCGGATCTGTAGAGCGGAGCCCGGCCGGCTCAGTTGACGGCGACATTTCCCGCGGCCGGTCGGGCCGACCGCCGTCACCGCAGACCGCTCGTGACACGGGCTACGGCCGATCAGAGCCGCCACTCGGCCGCGGCGGTACCGGCGCTCCGCCCCGCTACGGTGGCCCGCCGCCTGACTTACCGGACAGACTCGGCCCGCAGCCCGCAGGACGACACCGCCAAGTAAGACGGCCCGAGGTGTGAAATCTCCGGTCACTTTTTCCTGGTGTGACCGCGTGCAGGGCACCTGGCTGGCTCTGGGGACGGCAGCGGCCTCCGGCCTACACCGGTGGCGTGTGGACCGACCAACGGACCAGCAGCCAGCCGGATCTGGCCGCCTCGTGGCGGGCCGGCGCGCACGAGACCCGCCACGCGCCGTGACTCACGCGTGCCGCGCCACGCGCCCGCACAGCGCTGGCGTTCCCACGCAGCCGAGCCCCACCGGCCACTGTTCCAGAGGCGTCCTGGCGACCCGAGAGGGAGGGAGACGTGTCACAGGCTCCCGTGTCACACCGGACCGCAGCGTCATGCTGATATGACGTTTGACGGCGCGTGGCGGCCCCGTCCGGCCCGCGGCGCGAGCGCAGCCGTGCACTCCCAATGGGCGGAAACCCCCGCACTTGCGGACGGTGTGCGGAGCGCGCGGCTGGCGTGCCTCCGCGCGCCATAAATGCCTCGTTAGACTCAACCACCGAGGTCGCGAAAACAAACAGGCCACACCGCAGGCGTCGCCACCCGTGGGAGTGCTCTGCCGATGACGGCGCGGCGCGGCGCGGCGCCGGTGGCCGTCGCCGGGCGCGCCGCCGGATTACACGCTCCGGGTAGACTCAGCCGTCAGAGCCGACCGGCTGATCCGTCTCCAGATTTGTCATCGGCGGTGTAGCGGCGACGCGACATGGTCGCCGCGTGTCGGCGGCGGCCGCAGCCTCCCGGCCGCCTCTGATGCACCGCTCGGATCTCCGGCCGAGATTCCCAGCGAGATTAGCGGTGATCTTGGAGAACCGTGAATAGGGGGCGGCAGCCAGTGCCGCCGAGCGGGCGGGCGTGTGTCAGCGGGGGGCACGGCCAGCCTCCCGCGCCCGGCATCTCCGCGTGGCGTGACCGCAGAGCAGGAGCGTGCCGCACGCGGCCACCTCCGGCTCAAACGTGCTAACCCGCTTGGTGAGCGGCCGATCGCAGCCAATATCGGATGAGGCATCGCTGATGGGCCGAGCTATCGGCCAGGCTCGTTAACCCTCTCTGGCATGTATAACGTCATTTTCAGCTGAAGTAGGCCTAGATACAAACCTGCTGCACCTCACTGATTTCTCTCTTGTCTAGGCCTCGCCAGCATATTTCTGTTCGATGTCTTGTTACATGCTTGTCAAAGTGGTTCTTGCTGATGCGTAAAACCATACCAACATACCCCCAATCCCATTGCATCGAGTTCAAGGCCAACTTAGGCAATGATCGGCAAGAACCGTTTTTCATGGACCCTTTGAACCAACCCTATTATCTCTTTTCGATTGAGCAGTTTGCTGGGCTCGTTAGCGGCTGGCTCGTGTTGCCGACGGCGGTGCCGTCAGCGTGGCATCGGTGAGAGTGGCCCGGTCCGCTCCGAACCGCCGCCTGTCGCCGGGGGCTGCCGCCGCCGCCGCCCCGCTAACTGCCGCCCCGGGCAGGCGTTCGAGACAGCCGAGTGCCCTCGGGCCACCGGATGGCCACCGCCGGCGTCTGAAGGGCCGCTGATGGCCACCCTCGACCCGGCGGCCGGCGAGGGGCGGCGCCGCACCGCTGCCCGAGAGCCCGCTTTACGAGCGAGCCGTTTGGGGCCGGCGCCGTTTGCCGTTCGCCGGTCGGCCGGGCCGAAGCTGGGTTTCCCACCTATTACGACCGGCGGCAGCCGGGCGCGCGCACCAGCCGGATCCTGGGCCGGCGGCGCCAGCGGTGCGCGTGCGGCTGCTCCGCTCATTTCCGACACGGCGCACGCCAGGCTCGGCACTCAGCCAGACCCGTGAGAGAGAGAGAGAGAGAGAGAGAGAGAGAGAGAGAGAGAGAGAGAGAGAGAGAGAGAGAGAGAGAGAGAGAGAGAGAGAGAGAGAGGGAGAGGGAGAAGGGAGAGATAAAGTGAGACTGATGAGTGGCTACATGCGGCAGCCCAGAAATGGCAACGCTTGTTTGCTTAGTTATTCAATGTCATCTTAGGCTGATTGCGGGGCACGTCCAGTGTCATTCCGAGCGGCTCCGACGGGAGCAGAGTTGTAATGCGGCTCCTCCTCCCCAGGGCTGAGACGCCGCATTACCGGAACGGCAACCGGCCCGATCCGATATCGCGGCCGAGACGCGGATGTTTGGAAGGGGCCGGCGCCGGAACAGGTTCGCTCGCCCCCGCGCCGCTCCGCGTGGGCGGGCGCTGGGAAACCCGGCGCGAGCCGGTCGCGTGCCGCGGCTCAGCGCGCGCCGGCCGCCGCGGCTGCGGCATACGCAGGACCCGGTGCGTGTCGGCGCCCCTGACCTGCGGCCGGGTGTGACCTGCGCCGCGCCGGCCCGGCTGGGCGCCCGCCGCGGCCGGTCACCGGGCCGGTGTGTTTGGTGAGAGCACGGCGCGGGGCGCGGCCGGCCACCCAGACCGCACGGCTGAGCGCCTCCGCCGGCGCCGCCGGCCGCTCTGGGGCTTCCCAGTGGCACGGCCGGCACCGCCGTGACCTGGCACTCTGTCTCGACAGGTGGCACGCCGCATACGAAATTTATGCCAGACTTATTTCGGCCATATATAATGACTCACCATTCTTCCATCTCCCAATCTTGTAACGGTGGGTAATCCCGCTCGGCAAATGTCAACACTGTTCATGGAGCGGTGCCCAGACGGGTAATTAGCATCATGTAGCGATACCGGCTCTGGCCGCTACCAGTGATACACTGTGCTGACCGGCGCCATCTCTGCTGTTTCAGAACTCGACAGCCGAGGAGATGGAGGCTGTCATGGAGCAGTACCGGAACGCGCTGGCCGAGATGGAGCGGCAGCGCGAGCAGGACGAGTGGGAGGACGAGGACGAGGACCCGCTCGAGGCCTTCCACGACGTCGTCGACGAAGGTGAGTTAGAGCGGCGCGCTCAGAGTCGGACCGTAGCAGAGCTATCGCCCTTTGTCCCACCGTGCCGCCTGCCAATAAATACCGCGAGCCGGACACAGTTCCGCTGCAGACCTGTTCCAGCAGCCAGCGGCATCCTTGAAACGCTAACCCAGTGCCGCCCCTGGCCACAGGAAGCTATCGACAGCTGATGTGAGACGTACACACAGCGATACGGAGATACCAGTCGTCCCTCACGGACTTCCTGGTTTATTCAACACCGCTGTCACCGCGGACTCTCACAGGCGGATTCCTCTCTCGAGAACGGTTACAAATATTTTGACACGAGATTCCAATCGCTCAAGAGACCCGCGGCCGCCCCGCTCGGAACTTCTCTGGAAGTGGCGCTCCGGCGTGCCGAGCGGTTTCGGAGGAAGCACTTGGCGCTGCCCTCGAGACGGAAGCCGAGTGGTTGCGCGAGGCTGTGGCCGTGGGCGCCGGGCGCAGCGTGCCCCTCAGCTCCGCGGCCGGCCCGGCGCGCGGTGTTAGGTTCGTGGGCGGTGTGGGGGTCGCCGCAGCTTCCGCCGTTCCGGCCCAGTGCTAAGTTCAGCAGTGAGATGAAGTCTTCGGCCGGCCTCACCTGCCCAGGTGTCGCCCGCCGCGCCGCCGTCGCTCTCAGAGACCTCGACGCGGCCGGCGCTCGACGCCTGGGGGACGGCTCAGCCGGCAGAGCACGGAGCTGGGGAGAGCGGGAGGGGGACGAGGCGTGACGGGTATCGGGCAGTGGTGGAGCGGAGTCACAGGAACGCGGTCACGCGCTGGCAGAATTCCTGCAGCGTATATCGTACACCATATTAGCTCACGGATCGGAGCGCGCTACTCAACGCTTTCGAGAAGAAAGCAAAGCTGTTTGGCTCATTTCCTTATTAGCGGCTGGAACTCCGAGAGGAGCCGCACGTTCTGAGAGGGGAATACCGCCCGTGCACAGAGCACGGTGCTGCGGTTTCTCACTTAGCGCCGTTGACACGGCTGATGAAGCGGCTCTGGCTGCAAACATCACCCAGTGCGCAGCGGCGCCTCTCCAGTTATCGCCCGCACGCTATTGGAGCGAGCGACATTTCTCCACATATCACAGGAGGCAGAACGGAAATTAAGCATTTTCCTTCTTCTGGGCAGCGGCCTTTTCAGTGCAGTGCTGCCGAGGGACGCCCGCAGTTTGGCGTAATAAACATGCCGCCTGCCACCGCTCGCCCGCCCGGCGCGGCGCTGCGACGAGGCACCGGCCCGGGTCAACACGCGAGCCGCCGCCGCCGCTGCCGTCGCCGCCCCCACCGCTTCCGTGACGTCACCGACTATCGATGACCTCACCTACTCAGCTGATGGGCCGCGGGAGGGGTGACAGGGAGGGCCGCCGGTCGCCTGACACGACTCCCAAACGACTCTGACTCCGAGGCCCTCCGTGAAGTCACACTCGACTCACGTGACCGGCGGACTGGCTCATGACCACCCAGACGCGCCGGCATCCGCCAAATGCTCCGGCCGGGGGTGGGCCGGTCCTGGCAGGTCGGAGCCACCCACGGTGGCCGACGGGGACAGGGCCGGGGGGGCGGTCAGCTGACCGGGGCCGCCGACCCGGTGCTGACTCATGCTTGTCGGCGCGACGGCGGCCCCGTCGGCCGCGACGGACGGTCCTGCGCGCGGGGCGGGGCGGCAGGACCGGCGGCCCGGTTTCACCACGTGGTCGGCGTCGACAGCGGACTACCGACGGCGGCCGTCGGGGCCGACGGGACGGGCCGCCCACGCGGCCGGCCGTCGTGAATCAGTGTAGTGGACAGGCGCGGGCCGGACGGTTCGGCGAACGCCATTGATCGGGACAGGGGAGGGGCGCACGGCGCCGGACCTGACCTGGTAAACACTTCCAGCGAGGCCGGCCGGACGCGCGTCTTCCACGAACGAATTGGACAGTGCCACTGCACCGGCTCCTGTTTTTGTTTGGCCCCGTTCGGCGAAACGGGTCGTGTTGTGCGTTGGCGGCGCACGCCACGCGCTCCTGCGAACGGCCGCGGCACGCCCGCGCGCCGGAAACGCCATCGCAAGGATGAGCCTCTGCAGGTCGAGGCCGGGCTGGTCGGACAGGGCTGGGGCGGGACTGTCGATGTAGAGGGTCGGGGTGGGCCGTCAAACAGGCGTGCTTTGTGCAGTCGCCCACGGCCAACGCGGCGTCGCAGCTTTCATCAGCGCCGGCTGCAAGGTGATGGCCGGGTCACCGCGGACGCGGCACAAATTGAGTCTTGGCGGCGGCTGCAGACGAGCATCGTGTTTGACGGCCGCTGAGAATTAACGCTCTCAATCACTGCTGATGTGTTAATGGTGGCAGGCGGCACCTCCAGTGATTCACTTCCCAGTCCGCCTCCATGAAATCAATCGACGCTGATGAGACGGCAGTGGGTTAGCCCGGGAATCGCTTTTGTCTCTTCTTTTTGCTGCTCAGATTGGCTCCGGTCATGGCTCGAGAAGAACACATTTCGATTGCCACACAATGACTTGGCTTTAGCAAGTCACTATGACGTTACGCGTTGTTAGCTGTTTCGCCTTGTGTCTCTGGAGGCTGGCTGAGTTAACACCTCTCCTTCGGTCCGCTGGTGTGCTCTTTGAACCGGGATGGGCCGGGTTACATCATCAACAGTTGGCCGCGGTGATTTCCCAACGTTCCCCATCCCATCATACGCTCATAAAACGCCTCGCAGGCTCATTCACCTCGTGATTCTTCTTGTTTGACAAAATGCAACAGGAAGTCTGTCATTAGTAAATCATCACCTCTGACCCGAACGTTTAGAGCTTTGATCTAGTATTCACCACACTGCCTACTATCAGGAAATCTTAGGAACATGTTATGCATAATTATAGCAAACCGGACGTGATCTGGTGGCAATAATAAAACCAGAACGGAAGTTACTCATCACAAAAGCATTTCAAGCTGAGCTGAATCCCGGAAGTTTACAGAAACAACACTTAGTTGTTGCAAGCGTATGTTCTTAACAAATTATGATAAGTAGACTTGTGCTACATCAGTTCAATGGTAGGCTTTCAACATTGGTGACATTTTTGTGATAGGTGACGACATCTCGCTGCATACCAAGCCGACCTAACATGGCGGTACTGTAACCGATGACGTCATGTCGACGTCTCGCCAGGTCCGTGTGCCGACAGCGCGGAGGACGGCCTGGCACGGGCACGGCGCGCTCACCCGCCTCGTATGACGCTGGCCAGCCCTTTCTGACTCCGACCCTCTCTGTCCGGCAGGTTGGCTGCGCACCCGCTCCCGGCGCAGCGTCCACGTGCGAGCGCGCACACCGTCCGGCCTGACCAGCTTCTTCCCGCTGAACGAGGCCGGCCTGGGCGCGCACGAGCAGGTGCAGGACGCCAAGCTGCGGCTGTACCTGGAGCTGGTGCCAGGCGCGGCGCCGGCGGAGGTGCAGCTGTCTGTGTACCGGCTGACGGGCGGCGGCAGGGGCGGCCGGCGGCCGCGGCGCGTCCACCAGACCGGCCGCCGGCTGCGGGTCGCCGCCAGCGGCTGGTATGAGCTGAATGTCACCAGCGCCGCCCAGCAGTGGCAGGCGCGGCCCGAGCGCAACCACGGCCTGCAGGTCGAGTGCCGCCGCTGCGCCGACACCGTGCGCATCGTCGGCGGCGACGGGCCGCGTCAGCAGGCGCCGCGACTCGCCATCCGCACGCGCACCGTGGGCCGCAGCAAGCGCGACAGCAACGGCTTCCTGCCGCGCGGATCGCGAGGAAAGCCGCACGGCTGCCGGGGCGGCGCACGCTCCAAATGCTGCCGGCAAGAAATGTTTGTCGACTTTGACGAGCTGGGCGGCTTTGATTTCATCATCAACCCACGCAACTTTTCGGCGTACTACTGCCGCGGCCGCTGTCCGCCGTCGTACAACACGGCCACGGACCACGCACTACTGCAGGGCTGGATCTACCGGAAATGGAAGAGGGAGCAGCGCGAACTGCCGCACGGAGCGGCGGGCAGCAAGACGCCACCCGTCAGCCGCACCTGCTGCGTGCCGAGCAAGTTAACCGCGCTGCCCATCGCCTACAAGGGCGAGGACGGCAAGCCGCACTTCAGCTACTGGGAGGACGTGGTAGCACTGGAGTGCAAGTGCTCCTAGGCGCCGCGGCTGCGCGTCGCACTCGCCGCATCGGCGCCAATCACGCACACAGAACCGCCGACCTGGGCCTCCTAGTCGACCGCTCATACGGGGACCTTGACTATTTATTTCACACACACACAGTCATTTTCATCGCCCTCAGTCGCTTCTGAGTGGACTCATCGATGTGGTCGTTAGTTGTATACGTGGATGTATTACGCCGCCCGTGACGATGGGCATCGCCAGCCAAGTCTTGCTCCATCGACGAATCTCTGTGCGATGCTCTGATTACTATGTGCGACTTGTTTGCGCTCTGGACACTCTTTGGCTGGGTACCTGTACTCTGGAGTTGTGTAGAGTTGGCGCTCGGCTCCTATTGGACCGTCGGGAGCACGGACTCGTTTGTGCACGGACCCGTTGGGCCGGCTGGCCATCTAGTGAGGCTCCGTTTGCAGGTCGGTAGTTGTGTAATGTTCTCTTTGATCTTGGCCATGTGCTGCCATTTATTCCGGTCCCGCTTTCCGGCGGCGTGTCGCCTGCGCTGTCCTCTCCCCTCTCGTGTTCTCTCCATACCGTGGCCCCGCGCCGCTGCACCAAAGATCGCCGCGCCGACCGGCGACCCCGCCCTCTCCAACCTGGCGCTGTGTCCAGGCGCGTCATTTTGCGCGTGTTTTTGAGGACGAGCTTCCGAGGGCTGAGCGCTGGTCGCCGCCCGAAGCTCTGCAGGTGCGCTGCCGGGCGTGGCTGGTCCAGCTCCGGCAGCAGCTTTAGCCCTGGTGTCTGATCTCTGAGCTGGCCGGTCGCACTCGGCGTCCGGCCCGCTCCCCGTCTGTGATATATTTTTGTAAATTTGTCGTGCATCAATCGACGTTGTGAGCTTATTGTTTACTGAATGGATTGTATTTTTCTAGATAAGCATCTTCGTTTTGGTGGATCCGTCGATGTTGGTCGTGCGTTTTGGTGTTGATCGTGGTGGACCCGAGGCGGCGCCGGCGGCGCGAGCGACCCGCTGCCGGCGCCGGGCGGCCGTTTTGGGTGGGGCGGCGGCGGTGGGCGCTCGCAGTGCCACTGTCGGGCCAGGTCCCGCTCACTGAGGAGCCAGTCGCGCCGGCCGACTCGTCACAAACTCGGGGCTGCTGTCCAGCGTGACGAAAACAGCGGCCGTTACATACCTTGATACGATTCATGTTGTGAGATTTTTCAGCCGGCTGTTTTCAAATGCATTGTAATTTATGGACATTATGGAGGAAATACACTAGACGACCGTGCTTATTTTTCTTCTGTTGTAGTTTTAAAAGGAAGCTTTCTAAAAAGTCGCTTTTTCACTCCACGAGTGCATGGTACAACTGGGCAAAGCACGCGTGTCTATGAGACACACTTTGTGGGCAAACGAATGACAAACCAATTAGGTAGGCATTATTCTATACACTGTGTGGATGACAGCGATTGATTGCTCGAAGTTATACGAATTAGCACTAAACTGAACAATGTTGCCTGCCATGAGCGGCGCGACCGCATTATTGGCAACTCTGGGCTCACTATCGACATCAACAGCGCAAAACTACACATGCCTTCGTGCATGCCAAGGAACTGGTGTGTCACTTGTGGAACGTCAGGCTTTACCGCAATGTTTGCAGTTCAAGTACATGCCTGCGGCCCGCTACAGCACCTAATAAAGGATAGTCGCCGTTCACCCATGTCCACACGAGAGGTCACCGTCATTTAGGAAAGACAAATCAAATGACAAATACATTGTTGATAAGAAGAGGGAAATTTGAGGAAATCGGCCTTGTGGAGGTCACAGAAAATCACAAAAATAGGTACTCGTATGTACATTGAAGTGACCAATAACCATCAATAAGTATGTATGTATATCGTAATTACGGTGTTTTCTTTTCATATTCTGCTCCCCACGGTATTCCTGATTGTTGAAACCGAAAATCATACCCCTGATCAAGGGCATCTATATGTAGAAGGTACAGTCACTCCCCGCCGACCAATCAGAGACAGATCCTGAGTGACGTCACCCCTGATGATCGCAAGTGGTGCCTACTCCATTCCTTTACAATGTTAAAGTGACTTGCTTCATTTGAAGATTGTTGATAGCACTCTACACATACCGCTCAACCATTGATGTCAATGGAAAACCCAACTCATCTTCGCAACAAAAAAGAGGAGCAATATGCTAAGAAATGGCCGGTTTTGAAGATAAATACTATTTAAAAACTGTCTGCGGTAGCAGGAAAATAACCTAAAAAGCGCATCGAACTTATATTTCTCTATGAATAAATCATTTTTCAGTACCTAAGTGTTTAGATAAGGTTTCGATTTAATTCACAACTTTATTACAATATTCTTATTATTTGTAGCTTTATTTCAAAATGATATTTTTTAACCCGCGCGGGGCTGGGGTCTCCAGCCGAACGCGCGGGGCTGGGGGTGAGTAAATTTTACCTCCTTGCTATCTCCCGAACTAATGGTCCGATTTGGAAAATTCAAACGCCAATCGAAAGATCTCATCACAAACAACTAAAAGCATGTACTTAATTTAAAGTTTGAGCCTTGAGGTCAAGGTCAAGGACGGTCAGGTCAAGGGTACAAACTGCAAGTTTCTACAGTATCGGCCTTGCACCGTAGTTGCCGAAGAATGGACTGAGACTGATTGCCCGAAACGTGTTCTTAGGCTACCAAGACAATATTCGCAGCATAAAATATCATTCAGAGGTCAAGGTCAATTTCAGGTCAGGTCAGGTCAGGTCACCAAAAACAAAATATAGAAAAGGGCATGTGCGACCAGGGGCGGATCCAGGAAAACTCCAAGGGGAGGGTCATGAATCGAAGTGGTGCCCCTACCTATACCCAAAATTAAAAACTCAACGGATTTCGTCCACTTCATTTTGGTGGTGCCCCCATTTTCAGTTTTTTTTTCTTTTTATTTTTTATTTTTAGTCAGTATCTTAACTCTTAGCCACAACCACATTTACCAATTGTAAGCAAGTATATATGAATGTGCTATGTGCATAGATGCTATGTGTATATATGTTGTGGACGCTGAGTAGTGAGTACTTACCAGGAACGTTATCAGGTAATCAAATCGCTGTCAGTCCGACGAACTTGACCCCGGCGTCTAAAGGGTCTGTCCTTGACACTTCAGGCTTGTCAGGGGCACCAAAGTCCTTTAAGGGACACCACAAACCTTTCAGGGGCACCTACGGCCTTGTAGGGGCGCCACAGGCCCGCCAGGGGCACCACAGGCCTGCCAGGAAGTAGGGGCACGACAGGTCTAGCAAGTATACACGACAGGCCTGTCAGGGGCACAACGGACCTATTGGGCCCATGAGCACCCCTAGGGGCAGGGGCACCACAGTCCTTCCAGGGGCACCGCAGGCCTGTGAGGGGCACCAGCGGCCTAGCAGGGGCACCAGTCAACACAGGTCTGCCAGGGGCGCCACAGACCTGCCAGGGGCACCACAGACCTGCCAGGGGCACCAGAGGTCTGCCAGGGGCACCACCGGCCTCGCAGGGGCACCTTGGGTCTGTCAGGGGCACCACGGGCCTGCCGAGGGGCACTTCAGACTTTTCAGGGGCACCAGTCCTCTCCGGGCGCAGGGGTACCAGCGGCCTAGCAAGGGCACCAGAGGCCTGCCAGGGGCACCAGCGGCCTAGCAAGGGCACCAGAGGCCTGCCAGGGGCACCACAGGCCTAACAAGGGCATCACGGGCCTGTCAGGGACACCTCAGGCTTGTCAGGGCCCAGGGACACCACAGTCCTTCCAAGGGCACCGCAAGCCTGTCAGGGGCACCAGAGGCCTGCCAGGGGCACCACAGGCCTAGCAAGGGCACCACTGGCCTGTCAGGGGCACCTCAGGCTTGTCAGGGCCCAGGGGCACCACAGTCCTTCCAGGGGCATTACAAGCCTGTCAGGGGCACCAGAGGCCTAGCAAGGGCACCACAGGCCTGCCATGGACACCACAGGCCTGCCAGGGGCACCACCGCCCTTGCAGGGGCGCCTCAGGCCTGTCAGGGGCACCACGTGCCTACCGGGGACACTTCAGGCTTGTCAGGGGCGTCACAGTCCTGTCAGGGCCCAGGGGCACCAGGCCCGTGGTGTCCCTGCTAGGCCTGTGGTGCCCCTGGCGGTCCTGTGGTGCCCCTGTCAGGACTGTGATACCCCTGATAGGCCGGTGGTGCCCCTGGTAGGTCTTTGGGCCCCCGGGCCTCAAGGGGGGGGGCCATGACCCATGTGACCCCCCCCTTGGATCCGCCCCTGTGTGCGACACATGTTTTATGGGTCATTTTATTCATAGAATTCAATAGGCACACTCAATAGGTGATATGGACCACATCTGGATGAATTTCAGGTCGAGGTCAGATCAAGGTCAGGTCAAAGTGAGGTCAAATTTCGAAGTTGGTTGTTAAGGCCTAAAAAGGTGTCTGTCTGATGCAGTTTCTCACGGCCAATCGAATGGTGCTATTTTTGTTTCCGTACGAGGTCTAGAACTTCCAAAATAACCGTTTTTCAAAAAATTTGTGTGTCGTGACGTCATGAAATTTTTAATAACTCCCACATTTTTGAACCGATTCTTCTAAAAATTGGTATTTAGGTGCACATAGACCACATCTCTGACATATATTCCGATTTTTTCGATACACTCAAAATTTTAGATTTTTTAGTTATTTTCCCGTAAAAGTCAGTTTTTTTAGAAAAAAAAAATTGGACCAAAATCCAAAATTTTCAAAAAACGAGATAGCCATTTGATAGACAAGGTAGAATTACGTATAACCTTTTTTGTTACGTCTTGATTCCTTTAAAAATGAAGATGTTAGCGGCGTTTGAAATTTTGCCGTTTTTGAGGCGAAAATGGCGAACATGACGTCACTAAAACGTCAATTTCTCAAATATTTTCCGACGGATTTTGCTCAAATTTTCCGGAAACGTGTCAAATTGATGTAAAAAAGGTACTGAAAGTTTGGCGGCGCTGCGCGCCGCCGTTTTTGAGTTATTGCAGAAATTCGCGAGGGTGGGTAAAATTTACCCCCCCCAGCCCCGCGCGGGTGGCAGCTGTTGGCAATTAGCTTGGAAGCCATTGTGGCGCACCCTGAGCCATTGTTGTCTTTAGGCCCACTTAGGATGTCATCAAAAACGGAGTGACATGGGCCTGCCCCTGATGGTCATCAATGCTCTTGTAGCAAGGGAATGAAGGAAAAAAAGAAGAAAATAAAGAAAATTACTCCATCTGGCGGTTCATCAAACTGCGATCCATTGTTGTTCGGCTGGTTGTAGCAGAAAAGAGAGCAAATTGCTGCTGGGAGATCCTCGATAGTAAAGCTGGTAGAACAGGGGAGCTTGAGAGTCTTGGAAAAGATCCCGAGAGAGATCTAGAGATCCTGAGATGGAGATTAGATCCTGAGATTGAGATTTAGATCCTCCTGAAGGAGATGTAGATATCCAGCTGAGGAAGATGTAAGTCTAGATCCACCTGAGAGAGAGGTAGGTATCTATCCTCCTTGCATACAAATACATCTGATGGAAGATGCTTTTTAATTTAGAGGCTTGATGATTCTGTTCATTGTATAGACCATGATGTACGAGATGCTTCTTCACTGCTCGGATTTGGGATAGAGGGATCCGATCAGCTGGGTTTGCGGCACAGTTGGGCAGGTGAAGGACAGGGCATTCGAAGTCCCGATGACCACTGCCAAACAATGGGTGGTAATTACAGTGATAAATTGAATGTGATCATTCGTCCAGTCACCATTCCTATACTGGCCTCCCCATTAAGAAAATTGCCCACTTAATTCGTATTAGCGTTGCTAGTTTCCAGTTGCCCTCGAGAATCATTTGTTCGACTGCCGTAACCGAATTCTACCATGTTCCTATCGGCCTTACTCTAAGATTCATGCGTCATCATTCTCACATCCTTTCTCGCAATACGTTCACATTTCATGTGTTCACCCAAATTTAATTGGTAGCCCCCGAAATTCCCTCCGATAGTGTTAGGCGTCTTACAAACCACGGTCTCCCCGGCGAGATAAATGTCTCTTTCCGAAATCCATATGCATGCTCCGCTAACCGGCGACAAAGATACTTATCGCAGGGCCGTCCAGAATAATTATACACAAATATCCACCCTACTAATTTATGGGATTCACTACACGTCCGATAGACTTATGGTACACACATACACGATTTATATCCGACTTATCTCTCTACCGGGAGAGATTACCTATGCCCTCTTCCGGTCCGCGTGTAACATTCCCGTTCACGACCCA